ATCAAATCACCCACCCGCGCCCTGGCCTCCCTATCGCATTCTTCGCTGACATCGGCCTTCGAGAAGGCTGCTTGGAACAAAACGCTCGAGCCGGGGGGTGTCTGGGGCGACGAGACAGATTATCCACTCTTCATTCATCCACCCCGTCCATGACCTTTACGATCCCTCCGCCCCTGATCGGGCACGGTGACACGTCTCGCGACAAAATAGAGCGACTTGTGCCGGCCGTCTTGTCCCTGTTTAATGCCCCGACCAGGCACAAAGGCGTCATGTCATGCCAGAGGTCTCGACGAATCCATAATGCACAACCTTGGCCGCAATGCTCTGCTGTCTCATCCTGTGTCCGCATCATCCGAACCATCGATCTGCGACCTATCCGGCGATACACAAACTCGTCTTGCTTGCCTGTGCATCTTTCCCACCTCCGTCCCAAACCTTGCTCCTTGCTCTTTTCTTCTTCTTCTCTGTCTTATTTTATTTTTTGCGGCCTGATAGTCTTCTGCCCGCCAAGCCCATCTATTGTGCGCCGGATAGCGTGGTTCCATGGCTGCACGGCGAATGGGATGCGCTCGGGACTTGTGTCGTCGTCTTCCTAAGCCTAGGACTAACGCAACTCCGACATCACCTCATCTCTGCTACTATTACCAAGGGCCACCCATTACCGCGCTGCCTCTGGCCCTAGTCGCCCTTCCCCGTCTTTGCTTTGCTGCTAACCCCCAGTTCTGCAATTCCCCGCACTGCTTACCACTCTCGTCTGGGAGGCAGGTCAACCGTCTTCGCCTTGCCTTGCCTGTCTTTTTAGCCTAGTCGGGATACTACCAGCGACAACAACTCCCGCCATGGATCCATGTGCAACTTCGCTTGCCGGTCCCGCCTAACCCTCGTTTCCTATGCCCACACTGCTGCCACAAACAAGAATTGGCGGCTACGCGCGTATACGACCGTTTTCCGCGCGTCATCTTGCTCCTCCGTTGCCCGTCCTGTCCTGTCCTGTCGCCATGCCTGTCTGCGTGAGGCCTTCTACATACCTGTCTCGCGCTCTTCCCTGTCCAACTGCACCTTGCCGGCGACAACTGCCCATTGCCTGACCGACACTTGATCAGACTTGACCGCAACTTTGCTCATAGCCCGCCTAACTAACAGAAAGGTTGGACAGAAAAAATTTATTCCGCGACGAGCGCCAGTGACTACTTGTCCTATCACCACCGCGCCTTCCCACCCAGCAATTGAGGCAACCACTCACACGCTTCCGTCCCTTCCCACTCTGAAACATAGCACCACGTCCCTCCCTCACATCCCTTCCCGACTCGGAAACGGCAGCTGCACTACCCGCACCGCTACCATCTTCTACCACCCTTTTTGACAACACCACTCGCTTCCCTCGCACCACTCTCACCCGAGCAATGATGCTGCCATGCCCCCGATTGCAATAGGCAATAGCGCTGCTGACTAGCCGCCAGGCTACCATGTTTGCACTTGCGCGAATTTCGACTCACAAAGACTGATATCTGCATCTTGCTTGGCTCAACAAGTCGGTAGCACTATCCGAGCCTATACATGTCCTAACAACTCACCGTTGAGCCGATAATAGCCCAAGCGGGGGGGATGCGGAAAATGCCACCGTGTATGAATCCTGGTTAGGATGGGGGTGTGAAACGGACAAGGATAGTCTACAAAAAAAAGGTTGAGAGTGTGGGGTAAAGAAAAAAGGGCCTTGGCTTGTTGATCGAGATCAGTACCAAAGTATATGCTCGACGTACGTGGACAGCTGCAACAGGTTTCCATTACGTGTATCGAAGGAGAGAGATGGACAGGGAAAAAAAGAGATAGAGGCCATCTTGCAGTGTACACCTGTACATGGTCATGATACCATGGTCCCATCAAGTTCCTCATTCGTCCTTCATACCCCAGTACCCCACTCGTTGTGCCTTTGGCACCGTCATCTTGAAATGCAAATCGTCTTCGTCCTCGCCGCTGGCAAGTGCGCTGTCGCCCTCGTCACGCTCAATATCGTACTCCTCTTCATCGCTGCCATGGCGGTACTTTGGCTTGTACAGATTGCGGTCAAACTCGTCGTCGTCGCTCATTTCATCTTCCGGGTAGTCATTAGCGTAGTAGTCTTCTGCATTCTCGTCTTCGTCATCCGTATCAAACTCTCGGTCGCTGCCCTCTTCGTTGTCCCACCAGTCTGCGTCCTCTTCGCCAATCACCAACAGTCCCACACTCCCGGTTGGCGCTGGTGCATCCGGCAGAACGGGCTCGCGCACATAGTGGTCGTAGACGTATTCGCTATCTACGTCCATGGCGTCCACGTCTGTAGCTTCGTTGTCGTGTGATGATAGCGCTGCGGCCTTTTCTGGATGACGCTCAGCAAACCGCTTCGCAGGGGCCTTGGGTTTGTATTTCGATGGTGATGTCGAGGGCAGGGGGATCTTGAGATTATCTATCTTCTCCACCTCTTTTGAAAGTGCCTCAAGTTTACGCACATCCTTTTCAGACGGCTCCGACACTTGCACCTGTCTCTGTATGCTTGACTTTGATGAATTCCGCAGTGCACTCCCCGCCCCAGGCCTCTTCCGCGGTCGTGATGGTAGGTCGAGTGCAGGCTCCGATGCCGGTGATTGTACTTGACCCCCAACCAAGTTACTCTCATCTCTGGAAGACTTTTGTTCCTCGACGAAATGTCTCTTTGCCCCGATTCTCGATACAGGGTCAAGGCGAAAACGCCTCTGGGCGGTTGGCGTCGGTGGGGCCGTGGCTACGTGAGCATCGTCGCCTGGCTTTGTGAGTCGCCGGAAGAAAAATTGAACTTCTGGCTCCGAGTTGAAGCCAGAGTCAAGGTTCTGGCTTTTCTGGCGCTTGACTTCGTGATCGATGCGCAGCGAGTCCACGGGCGCTTCAGTTCGTTTGCGCTTGACCGAGATGGTCTGCGGAGGCATATGCGACGACATGACGGTTGTGCGTGTGTGAAGAGCAGTTGCCTTGGCGGGGATACGGCCGAGTTTTGGCGTACTGTCTGTATAGAATCTTTGGGAGTTGAGCCAGCGCAGCGAATCGGAGGGGTAGGGCGGGGGTGGAGGTGACATCAAACCCTAGTAGCCATCCCACGCAGAGCAGAGCAGAGCCCCACGCTAGCGTCGCGTCCGTGCTGCCCATCACCGCATCACCTGCTGTCGTTCCTCGACGTGCTCCTCACGCGCCGCCATCATGAGTCCATTCAGTGCTTGTATTGTTGCCTGATTATGTCTGCTCTTCTCACATCTACCTCGTGAACGTGTGCATGTCCTTTCAAAACCCTCCGTACTTGTAGACTCATTATCAAGACCTCCCTAACTCCGTATCTCCGCAGCTCCGCCCCCAGACGCTCGACAACACCGCGAGCGCGATACATATAGCAACACACTATGGAGCGCTTACGCCAGATGTTTAGGCGCGAAGAACCGGAGGCTTCGTATGAACCGCTACAAGGTGGCTCTGAGCGGCCTGATGGCGAGCATATCGATGCGGAGGAGCAGGCCTTCTCATGGACCGACTATGCCGTCTTCACCCTGCTGGGAGTCGCCATGCTATGGGCCTGGTAAGTCCCTACACACTCCCACCACATGTACACGACTAACTTGCGCCTAGGAACATGTTTCTAGCAGCAGCACCGTACTTCCAGCGCCGCTTCGAGTCCAACGACAGCCTCCTCCGCAACTTCCAGTCCGGCATCCTCTCCGTCTCCACCGTAGGCAACCTAGGCTCCATGATTGTCCTGACCAAGCTACAAGCCCGTGCCAACTACCCCCGCCGTATCATCGCTTCGCTCGCCCTCAACGCCATCGTCTTCACACTACTTGCTATATCTACCAAACTGTTCCTAGACGTATCCGTCGGCGTCTACTTTGCCTTCCTGATGGTCATGGTCATGATTGCCAGTCTGGCCACAGGTCTATGCCAAAACGGCGTTTTCGCCTACGTATCTGGGTTTGGACGGGAAGAATATACCCAGGGTATAATGTCCGGCCAAGGTGTCGCCGGTGTCCTCCCAGCCATCACCCAGATCATCTCCGTGCTCTCCGTCCCAAAGAAGCACCATGTTGACGGTGCGCCTCAAGAGTCCAGCACCTCTGCTTTTGTGTACTTCCTGACTGCCACCGCCGTCTCCGTCGCAACTCTCTTCGCCTTCTTCTACCTGCTCTCCAGAGACAGCTCCAAGCAGCGCCTGCTGCGCACATCCTACAACGAAGGCCCCGAATACGACGACACAGATCGTACCGAGCGCAAGAGCGTGCCCTTGACAAGGCTCCTCAGAAAGCTCTTCTGGCTCGCCGGCGCCATCTTCACTACCTTTGCAGTAACTATGTTCTTCCCCGTCTTCACACCCCAAGTCCTCAGTGTACGCGATCCAGCCACCGCACCTCGCCTCTTCCAACCCGCAGCTTTTATCCCCCTAGGCTTCTTCTTCTGGAACATTGGTGATCTCATCGGTCGTGTCGGACCGGCCTTGCCTGCTCTCCGTCTTACACATCGCCCACAGTTGCTATTCTTCCTGTCCGTTGCAAGAATCCTCTTCATCCCCTTGTATCTTCTCTGCAACATCGGCGGCAAAGGTGCGGCTATCCCCTCTGACTTCTTCTATCTGTTCGTCGTGCAGCTGTTGTTTGGTATGACAAACGGTTTCCTGGGAAGTAACTGTATGATGGGCTTTGCTGAGTGGGTTGAACCCGATGAACTTGAGGCTGCAGGGGGTTTCATGTCGCTGAGTCTTGTGGGCGGATTGACGGCAGGAAGTTTTCTTAGTTTCTTTGCTGCGCAGTCTTCATGATTTAGAATGGACGGTGACATTGTACATGCATTTCTTAGACAATCAAAGTTTCGTTCTTCAGACCAACATTCTTTGCCAACGTGAATCCCGAAAATGCAAACGAGATATGATACCTAGACACGATTCCATTGCCGCGTCCTTTCTATTCAATCATTTCTTATTTTGGTGATAATACACACATATTTTTCTGTTCTTACAAAGCCCCAAGTTCCTTCAACTTGCTAATCATACCATCCACATCCTCCACCTTGACACCACCCTTTCTCGGCTCAGGCTCCGTAACTTTAACCGTCTTCAGCCTAACCTCAGTATCCAGTCCATAATCACTTAGGCTCTTCTTCTCGAGCGGCTTCTTCTTCGCCTTCATGATGTTTGGTAAACTAGCATAGCGCGGCTCGTTGAGTCGTAGATCCGTTGTAATAACCATTGGCAGCTTGGCCTTGATCGTCTGCACACCGCCATCGACCTCCTGCACCACCTCGACGGATTGGTCCTTGATAGTGACTTTGGACGCTTGTGTGGCTTGCGGCCAGTTGAGCAGGCCCGCGAGCATTTGTCCTGTTTGGCCCGCGTCGTCATCGATGGCTTGCTTGCCGAGGATGACAAGGTTGCTTTTTTGCTCCTCGACGACTTTGCGGAGGAGCTTTGCGACGCCGAGGGGCTCGAGGGCGTCTTTTTCTTCCACCACAACGTGGATGCCACGGTCCGCGCCCATGGCCATGGCTGTGCGGAGGATGTCTTGCGATTTTGCGACACCCGCGGAGAAGGCAACGATGTCTTCGACGGCGGGGGCGTTGGCGTGGTGTGCCTTCTTTTCGCGCATGCGGACCGCTTCCTCGATGGAGAGTTCGTCAAAGGGATTCATCGAGTGCTTGACATTTGCGGTTTCGACGGCGGTTTGCGTACGGTTTACCCGGGGTTTGACCTGTTATTCCATATAAGTATCTGTTGCTTTCTTCTTCATATTGCCATGTCACTGCGTCTGTAGAGTTCATCTCTTGTGCCGTTGCAACACATGCGAGGCTCGGGACTGGGCGCATTCTTCGGTGCTAAACTAAACATACCGCATAGTCAATGACCCGCTTGACGGGCACTAATATCCTCAAGCCAGACATTTTGTGATGTTTGGCGACTCTTCTACACTGCGGAAAACGCCAATTGTTGTAGGAAGAGTGCTGGTAATGATGTAGAAGAGCAAGGGTGGGGTGGATAGCATCGGGGTTGGCCCTGGGGTTCGCGGTGCTTAGCCGAGGCTTTTTCCGATGTCTGCGGGCGGCCTTGGCATGGCCGTGATATCATCTAGAGGGATAGTGTTTGGAAGTATAATTGTATTATGAACTAGAAGTCTTGTCTTGTGAGCTCCTGAGAATGATGCTTTTTTTTGTTTTCTCTTAATTTGAAATAGTCGTTGGATGAGAACTCTAGTTTTCTAAGAAATTCACAGTGAAGCGCCACGCCCTCAGAGGCGGAAAAGCACCATTGGGACGTCAAGTGAACTGATTTCACAGTATTCAAAAGTATGCTAGGGACCTGTTCCCACACATCACTTCTAACTCTTTAGAAGCCTTTTTCCCTTCCATTTTGAGCCATCAGCCCACTACGCCATTTGCAAACTGCTCACAGCTCGCACAGAATCCAAACGTCTGACTCGCGTTGTACTCCCAACACTGCTGTGTATACTCTGGTGAGCTAGTCCCACAACCATCACTCAAAAGAACGCAATCATACCCATGGCTAAAAGCATCTGTCAAAGTTCCGCCTACACACTGATCCGTGTTGACCCCAGTAAAAAACAGTGTCCTGATACCCTCTTGATCGAGAAACTCTTTCAGTGGAGTTGTGGCCCCCCATAAGCCGCTCATCCTATTCTTGTGAATCCAAACGTCGGGCCTGCTATCAAGCTCCCTACCCTCAAGGTACATGGCCTCAAGAGGCGGGTAGATTCCAGTGTTCCAAGTATTGCGCATGAGTAGACGGCCGCCAGAAACGCAGTATCCCTCTGAAACTGTAAGTGTCCCGCAGTCTGCGCCTATGCCACAGTACATTGACTTCTCCTCGCCTCCGTGGCGATTTACACTCACACTGCCTTCATGATACCCAAACGCATCATCTGCACTAAAGTCTGAATCCGCGGGAATAGCAAAAAATCCAAAAGCACGTTTGACTGCCGGCGGCATCTCTTTGAGTTCTTCTTCTGTAAGGCCCCAGTTCACCCAAACTACCCGGATGCCAGCCTTTCTTGCAGCTGGTATGGCATATCTGGAAAGTTGTTCACAAGCAGCATGTCCAGCACTCTGTTGGTTGCGGCCAAAAGCTGAGGAGAGAAAGAAGTTTTGCATGTCAATTATGATAAGTGCGGATTTAGCGGGGTCAACCTTGATGGGCTGAGTTGATGTTTGGATTGTATAAGTAGGTCCGGAGATCGGCAAAGAGTGAGTAGATGGATGTGTAAGATCGAATCCCGACTGCGAAGTGTGAGACCAAAAGCTTGTGGATGATCCTATTAGGGCCCTGCGGTTGAGTTTGGTTGCAGTGTCGGAAGCCATAGCTGTGTCAAAAGTCGAAATTGTGGGATGTAGGGCACAAGTAATTTTCATCAAATATATATGCGTACAGGTTTGGGATGATTGTAAGTAGGAAGATAAAGCTGAACAAGAGCCTCTTGTATACTCAAATACCATGGCTGCTATCAGAGAGCCAGATAAGGAAGGCCAGTATCTCACTTGCAAAAGCGGGGTAAGCTTGTATAACCCCAGAGATAGAGATAGTGCATTGTCGATGATATTACTAAGAATTGTCTTCTTTATTAGACAAAGTGCAGTGACTAGAAATCAACTGGCCTTCAAGCCAGCCTGCTTCTATCTGATCCCAGCAAGCCGTTTCCTTGCAAGTTGAACGAGTTGTGGCCACTCTTCCTTTTGATTGGCTGCACTCGGGACTTCGAGTATTTGTCGCAGGTATTCCTTTGCTTGTTCGTGATCACCGTTTGAGTCGTGATAATCTGCAAGCTGCAGCATAGAAGGCTTATGGCCGGCATTAGATGCAGCCTCAAGCCATTCCCGCGCTAATGCTGCAGCGCTGCCAGGCTTCCACCCTAGCAGCCAATTGAGCGCTTTTCGTATCCCACCATCTTTGAGAATTGACGATTCAGTCTTTGCAACCTCCTGGTAAAAGTCGATGAGGTTAATCATGGCTTGTTGATGCCCCGATGCTGCAGCTTTACTAGTGTATCGCAGCCATTTCTCACTTGCTCTAGGCTCGAAAGCCGCAAGTTCATAATATGAGAGCGGATCATCGCCTTTTAGAGCACCCAGCTCAAATGGGGTCTTTGCTTCAGCTTGCACTTTTGGATCTTTTTCGGATTTCAGTAATAACCCAAGTGCATTCCAGGGTGCGATTAGTGGCAGCTGCATGGGATGTCTTGCTCCAGGTTCATATTTGAGACTAGAAGGATTGGTGGCCTGCAGATAAACTTCCTTTGCTTTGAGTCTTTGGCCCTCCTGCTCAAGAAAAAGCCCCTTCAGAGTCAACACTTCTGGCCATAGAGCCGTGGTCTTTTCTAGTGTTTGTTGATCAAAGCTCTCTAATGTCTGGCGGTATCTTGGGACTTCATGACGTGGGAAAAGGCGTGCTAGCTCTTGCACAGATTCATCACCTGCGCTGCTTAGATAGACAGCAGTCAGGATATGTACAATTGCTAGAGGATCACCAGCCTGTGCACACCCTTGGAGAAGCAGTCCAGAGATGGTTTTGTGTTGACTTGGGGGAATTTGAGCTTTCTTAACAGGGTCGCTGATGTCAGGTATTTTGAAAGTTATGATCCCAAGGGAGGAAACATCGTCAAGTGCAACATTGTACTCTGTTGAGATTAGCATACCAAATTCATACTGGATGGCAGATTCGACACGCACTCTTTACTAGTCTCAGAATGTTGGTACCATGATCCATTTTATTCTTATGTGTAACAAAGTCCTGGTACAGACTCTGCGCTATGCGAGGTTCCATCTTGAGAGTGCCCTGTTGTTTAGCGAGCGTATAGAAGCCTAACCGGCTGCGCTCGTCGACATCAGCCCGGGCTTTTGGGGCATCGAATCTTGACTTGGTAGCATATCTCCGGATCTGAATCGGAGTGCTAGCTTTTTGTCGATGTGGAGATGGTATTAGTCTTGGAGCGCCCTTGTACTGAGCTGTTTTGGTGAATTGGCGAAATTGGCAAATGAGACAGTTCCCAATTTTTTCAACAGTTCTTGTTGAACCCCCTCCAATCCGAGAGAGGGACATGGTTGGCTCATCAATGACTTTCGTGACAGGCGTGGGGTGGAAGTCGGACATGGTGACGGTTGTTCATTCTCGGAGGTCCGCAATGGCCGCGAAATCTTGGCGCGCCAGAATCTTTTTTGGTGTCGCGAAGAAAGTTGCGCCCCAACCCAGACACCCTAAATCCAAGCTGCGCTTTCGTCAGGACACAGCCAGGTCTACAGTATCGCTGTCGCAATGGTCACAACACGAGGAGGAACAGAGACGCCAGGCGCACCGACGCCTACGCCTCGCAGTTCGACAAGAAAGCAGGTTGGAAAGAGAGAACTGGAGTCGCTGGAGACACCAACACAGACAAAGAGGCAAAGAAAGGCACCCAAGGCCACAGCAAAGAAAGGAAGTGCAGCGGAGCCAAAAGGGCAGGAAGAATCTGCAGATGAGCCTTCACAAGAATCTTCAAACGATACCTCAGACACGATTGCTGCCAATGCGCAAGAACCAGAAGCGCCCGAGACACCCAAGCAGAGCGGTTTGCCAGCTCGCCGAAAATCAAGCCCGCAAGTAGTCGTTGGCGCCGATGCTTCAGATCAATCATCCAACACCGTGGAAAAGGAAGATGAAGTGCCATCGACTGTGCAAAACCCTGCATTTTACACACCAATACAGGCCCCCGGGTCCGTTTATGCCACGCCAGCTACACGCAAGCGGCCAGAGGGCTCGCCTACGCCCAAAGCTAAGATCCTGGACGATCAGACACCATCGGCGGCAGTGAAGAAGGGAAGAGGCCGTCCTAAAAAGACACCAAAAAAGGAGCTTGTCGAAGCAATCGACGAGGTACCATCTTCTACCTACGAGAGCGAAATGGCACCTATACCCTCGCAAGACACTGCACCTCCCTCAGCACAGGCTGAGAAGGCACACACGCGTTTCGGCAGCGAGGAGCCTGCACCGACACCAGCCTCGCCAGTCATGAACAAGCAAGGCAACAAGCGCTACGAAGCCGCTGAGCCTGTAGTCGAAGTATCCCAAGCCGACGACGATAACGACGCCAGCGACTCAGACGACGAAGCCCCCGAAGTTGTCACCACCGCAGCCGCAAGTTCCAAAGCCCTCGCCGCCCGCGCTGAAGCCGACCGCGCTCAAAAAGCCCAACAAGCCAAAGAAAACGCCAAACGCAAAGCCCGCGAAGAATTCCTCGCCGCCCAACAAGCCGCCAAGCGCGAGCGCGATGAAAAGAAGGCAAAGAAACTCGCCAAACAGGCCGCCAAAGAAGCAAAAGCAGCAGCTACAGACGCTCCCTCCGCCGACCAAGAATCAGACTCCGAACACCCCACGCAAATCGACACCTCAAATGGCCTCCTCCCTGACTCCCTCCTCGCCACAATCGACGACCAGCGCCCGCCCACACCCCCACCCGAGCGCCGCGGCAAAACCGAAGAGGAAAAGCGAAAAGAGAAGCTGAACCAGCATATCAAGTTCCTCGAGCGCACCGACAAGCCGACCAAAGATGTCAAGAAGGGAAAACTCAACGTCGCTGTGTTGGCGCAGCAGAATAAAGTTATGCCGCCAAAGGTGAATCGGGATTCGAAGAACGTGAGGGAGCATTGGCTCAAGGGGAGGCAGGTGGAGAAGAGGATGGTAGGTAAGAAGGGTGGGGTTGTGAGGGTGGGTAGGATGGAGAGGAGACCGCATGGGAATCGGGGGTTCTTGAAGGATGGAGATGAGTAGGGGGTGTCTTGGTCCAGGTATTATGATGTTTGTATGCGTGTAGGGCATACATACTCAAAAAAAAAGAGAGAAATGAATGTGTCAATTGGGATATCCATTTTTTCTTGTTTCAAACGTATTTACCAGCATA